TCTGTGACCCCGAGGGTCCTGAGACCACAGTGTCCCGCGAGGGTTCCACCCCCCGCTTAGCCACTGGAGCGACGTCCCACAGCGGAGCCGACTTCTAAAAGTTCCGATTTTGTGCTCCGCAGCTCTAGCACTTGCCAGAAGCAGCCGACGGAGGCCCCTTCCCCCGCCATCTATCCTCCTGAATATCGCCTCAGATTCACTTCTTGCATGTCCTACCTTCTAGAAAGTGGTCGCTTTTCTGTTCAGAGTGTTGTTGCCACTCTCCTCTTCGATCTCCTGTTGAGTTTGTAGGTGTTCAGAATGGTTTGATCCCTATTCAGCTGAATTCCTGAGACCAGACGAAATCCAGGTCTCCTACTCCTCCGCCATCTTGCCCCGCCCCCCCCTTATGCTTTAAATTTCATTCTCAAATTGACGCCCCAGGGAGACATTTTCTGACTCCCAGACTAGATCAGATTTCCTTGTTAGCCTCTGAAGGCATCCTGCGCTTCTCCCTCACCACACTTACTGTAGTTGGTGGCAGCCCATTTGTGCATTGCTTGACTGCCTCTCTTCCCTGTAACGCTTGAAGCTCCGTGAGGACGGGGATGGTATCTGTTAGTCACTGTTTTACTAGCAGCACAGAGTAGGTGCTGAATAAATACCAGTTGAGTAAATAAACCTTGAGAGAGCTGTCACAGTGATTTGTTGCGTTAGTAAGAGGAAAGGGCTTGGTACCTTTGAGGTACTAAATGAGGGCTAGTGCCTATAACCATTGTCTTAGTTTGGGCCGCTATGGTATAACAGTCCCATAGCCTGGTGGCTTATAAAGGATAGGAACTTATCTCTTTCTTTCTTTCATTTATTTATTTTAGAGAGAGACAGAGCATGGGGGAGAGGGAGAAGCAGACTCCCAACTGAGCAGGGAGCCCGATGCGGGACTTGATCCCAGGGCTCTGAGATCGTGACCTGAGATGAAGGCAGGCGCTTAACTGACTGAGCCACCCAGGCGTCCCAGGAACTTATTATTCAAGTTCTAGGGGCCAGAATTCCCAGGTCAGGGTGCCAGTATGGTCAGCTTTTGGTGAGGGCCTTCTTCTGGGTTCCAGACTGGCAGTTTTTCACTTTATCCTCATATGGCAGAGCAGAGCAGAGAGAGAGGACGAAAGCTCTCCTGACTCTTAGAAGGGTACCAGTCCCATTCAAGAAGGCTTCACGCTATGGACCTGATCCAATCCTGATCAATGCACAAAGGCCTGACCTAATGCCATCATGTGGTGCTGGTGGGGGCGGGGGGGGGGACGGTTACAGTTTCAACATATGAATGGGGGGGGAAGCATTCAGTCCAGAGAAACCATTTTTAGAGATACACAGTTATAAAATATACGTAGCTACAGTCAGGATATATAGGAACAAGTAGGTCTCGGTAGCTAAAGAGCACCGGGCTTAGGAACACGGGGCTTAGGGGAGGTCGCCCAGGTGGCTCAGTCGGTTAAGCATCTGCCTTCAGCTCAGGTCATGATCCCAGGGTCCTGGGATTGAGTCCCGTTTTGGGCTCCCTGCTCAGTGGGGAGTCTGCTTCTTCCTCTGCCTCTGCCCCTCCTCCCTGCTCGTGCTCTCTTTGTCTCCAAATAAATAAATAAAATCTTAAAAAAAAAAAAAGGAACACTTAGGGAATTGGAAGAAAGGACAAGAATTCATGAGAAAAAAGAGAAGGGTGATGTTTATTGATAGGCTTACCCTGTCACCTCCACCCCTGCTGGTCGTGCTGTTGCATTATCTTTATTTTTTTTGTCCAGGCCTGGTGTGTGGTGGTCTTTGTTAACTGGATATTATGGGAGGTAAAGCTGAAGATTTCTTTGGTTTGTGATATGTTACACTAAGATAAGACCTTGTGGTAGGTCTTTAAACAATGCTTTTAAAATGTGTGCGTTTATATTAATCTTTACCAGAATGTCACAGGTAGACTCATGGTTGGTCTGCGTTGGTGGAATCATATAGATGAAGATGGAAAAAGCCACTGGGTGTTTGAGTCCAGGAAGGTAAACTGCCCTTTTTTTTTAAATTTATTTTTATTTTTTAAGATTTTTATTTATTTATTTGACAGAGAGGACAAGCAGGCAGAGTGGCGGGCAGAGGGGGAGGGAGAAGCAGACTCCCTGCTGAGCAGAGAGCCTGATGTGGGGCTCGATCCCAGGACCCTGGGACCATGACCTGAGACCATGACCTGAGCTGAAGGCAGACGCTTAACTGACTGAGCCACCCAGGCGCCCCTGCCCTTTTTTTTCTTCCCCCCAAAATGTCATTCAATAAATTTTGTGCAGATTACATTTGAATATTTATGGGTGAAGTATTCAGGATTAAAAGTACTACCCCAGATCACTTGGCGTGTCAGCACTAAACCAGATGGCCTTCTAAAGCTGCATTTTTCTGTCTAGTTGAGACTGGAAGTAAGGCACGTACAGGAAGGAAGCCTCTGAGAAAGGATTTTGGGTCCGAGTTTGTTCTGTGTGCTGAGCTGCTTGTCAGGGGCTGCTGATAAAGGACTTCTGAGGACCCTCAGCTTTGTGTTGCTGTGCCTGGTCTCTCCCGGGATCTGTCCCTGTCAGCAGATAACTGCTTCCAGCAGCTCCTTCTGTCTTTGCTCCTGTGGTTCATTTCCACATGTGGGTAGAGAAAAGAAAAAGAAAAAGAAAAAGAGGGATTACAAGTAGACAGAAAATGTGAATCAGCCTGCACAGTGTTCTTGAAGCCTCTGCCTTCAGGAGCCCTCGGGGATGCTCATCTGTTTTGGGTTAGCCTCCTTATCTGTAGCAAACATTCAGTTTCCCTGTGGAATCAGCGTGGGAGGCATGGGAGGCGGAGGACAGAATTTTTGCAGAACATTACTAATTAAGTTGTTTGCCTTCTGCTTGGAACAGCCTTGACGAGTTCTACTTCTGAGAAAGCAGTATTGTGCTTAGGGATAAGCCCACATTCCCTTATATTATACAAACTATATGGAAGCAACTCACCACCCTTTTAAGATTTCTGGGTATTGCTAAGAGATTTTGGCCATTGTCCCAGATCCCCTGATTCCATTTCTTTCTCTGGGCCCTGACTTGACTTTTTAGCCTTGATTTCCTTGATCCTTAGCTCATACATGTGATTCAAAGCTTCTTTATGAATAAACAGTATAAGAGCAGGAAGAATTGAGAAGACTGTCAGAAACAACCTTTACCTTTACCCATGTCTTGGGTCATGACAGACTGTCCATTCTGCCCCGAATGGGCAGATAATACAAAATTCTTGAGTTACAGCATATTTAAGCCAGTTCCTAAAATTAAATAGTGGTAGATATACAACTGTTCTTTGTGGGGTATGGTTTCTAACTTGGGGCTTGGGTCATCTTTATTAATTTATTCAGATTTTAGACTTAGGTGTTTTTCATGAAAAATGTGAAACTTTTTACTGATGAATACTACGGTACTGGTTATTAAGTCCATATTCTTTCTTAGGCATCTGCTCAAGAGAGTAAAACTGTTTCCGAGGCTGAATCAAGAATCTTTTGGTTGGGACTTATTGCCTGTCCAGTGCTGTGGGTAATATTTGCCTTTAGTGCACTCTTCTCCTTCAGAGTGAAGTGGTTGGTGAGTATCAGTGAGGATGTACGGACAATTCATTAGGATGTTTGATGGGTAATCACCATAAGCAACCATCTATGCTAACATTAGGGACTTGTCTTTTATTTATTTTTTAATTTTTATTGTTATGTTAATCACCATATATTACATCATTTGTTTTGGTGTAGTGTTCCATGATTCATTGTTTGTTCATAACACCAAGTGCTCCATGCAGAATGTGCCCTCTTTAATACCCATCACCAGGCTAACCCATCCCCCTACCCTCCTCCCCTCTAGAACCCTCAGTTTGTTTTTCAGAGTCCATCATCTCTCCTGGTTCGTCTCCCCCTCTGACTTACTCCCCTTCATTCTTCCTCTCCTGCTATCTTCTTCTTTTTCTTTTTTCTTAAAATATGTTGCGTTATTTGTTTCAAAGTACAGATCTGTGATTCAACAGTCTTGCACAATTCACAGCGCTCACTGTAGCAATACCCTCCCCAATGTCTATCACCCAGACACCCCATCCCTCCCACCCCCCACCACTCCAGCAACCCTCAGTTTGTTTCCTGAGATTAAGAATTCCTCATATCAGTGAGGTCATATGATACATGTCTTTCTCTGATTGACTTATTTCACTCAGCATAACACCCTCCAGTTCCATCCACGTCGTTGCAAATGGCAAGATCTCATTCCTTTTGATGGCTGCATAATATTCCATTGTGTATATATACCACATCTTCTTTATCCATTCATCTGTCGATGGATATCTTGGCTCTTTCCACAGTTTGGCTATTGTGGACATTGCTGCTATAAACATTGGGGTGCACGTACCCCTTCGGGTCCCTACATTTGTATCTTTGGGGTAAATACCCAGTAGTGCAATTGCTGGATCGAATGGTAGCTCTAATTTCAACTGTTTGAGGAACCTCCATACTGTTTTCCAGAGTGGTTGCACCAGCTTGCATTCCCACCAACAGTGTAGGAGGGTTCCCCTTTCTCCACATCCCCGCCAACATCTGTCGTTCCCTGACTTGTTAATTTTAGCCATTCTGACGGGTGTGAGGTGGTATCTCATTGAGGTTTTGATTTGGATTTCCCTGATGCCGAGCGATGTTGAGCACTTTTTCATGTGCCTGTTGGCCATTTGGATGTCTTCTTTGGAAAAATGTCTGTTCATATTTTCTGCCCATTTCTTGATTGGATTATTTGTTCTTTGGGTGTTGAGTTTGATAAGTTCTTTATGGATTTTGGATACTAGCCCTTTATCTGATATGTCATTTGCAAATATTTTCTCCCATTCTGTCGGTTGTCTTTTGGTTTTGTGGACTGTTTCTTTTGCTGTGCAAAAGCTTTTTATCTTGATGAAATCCCAATAGTTCATTTTTGCCCTGGCTTCCCGTGCCTTTGGTGATGTTTCTAGGAAGAAGTTGCTGCGGCTGAGGTCGAAGAGGTTGCTGCCTGTGTTCTTCTTTAGGATTTTGATGGACTCCTGTCTCACGTTTAGGTCTTTCAACCATTTGGAGTCTATTTTTGTGTGTGGTGTAAGGAAATGGTCCAGTTTCATTCTTCTGCATGTGGCTGTCCAATTTTCCCAACACCATTTGTTGAAGAGACTGTCTTTTTGCCATTGGACATTCTTTCCTGCTTTGAGGGACTTGTCTTGAATAGGCAGCTCCATTACACATTTCCCAAGTTCTCCCCAACTCTGCTTTTCTCTAAGAGCTGGAGAGCCGAATCCTCTTAAACACCCAGTTTCACCGATTCCCCAAGTGCCTAGCAGAATTTTGATTTAACCCACCTCGTATGGAGGTTACCATCTATTTATCACAGTATTATCTTGTTGGATGTTCAATAAACTCCAAACATGTTTAGCTTAGTTTGGAACTAACAGAGGGGTATTCTCTGAAAATATTAGTTGGTAACTTGTTCTGGTTGTCTGTTGCTTATAGTGTAAATCTTCCCAGAACGTAGTGGCTTAAAAATAAATTTTTATTTCCCTCATCAAGCTACAAATAAAATATAAATAATAAATAAAATAATAAAATAAATAATAAAATAAAATAATAAAAATAAAACAATTTATTATCTCTCTCAGTTTCTCTGGTTTAGGAACTGTTGGGGGGCCTGGTCTGGGAGGTTGTGGGTTGGGGTCCATGTGGTTGCAGTCAGGCATTGGCTGGAGCAGCTTCAGGCATCTCCTCTTTGTGAAGTCCCATGGCCTTTCCATATGGTCTCACCACATGGCCATGTAGGGCTTCCTCACAGCATGGCGGCTTCATGGCAGTTAGAATTCTTCCTTGGAGGGTCACAGCTCTGACTGGGAGTGGCTCAGCTCAGATGCTGAATCGCCTCTTACAGCTGTGTGAGTTTGCTCCAGCTGCCTTCTGGGAGACTTAGACACCAGAACTTCATTTTCTCACAGTTCTGGAGGCTAAAAGCCCCAGATCAGGATGTTGGGAGGTTTGATTTCTTCTTTCTGAGGCCTCTCTCCTTGGCTTGCGGATGGCCGTCTTTCCCTTGTGTGTCTTCATGTGGTCTTTCCTCTATGCGTGTGTGTGTCCTAATCTCTTTTTACAAGGACACCAGTCATACTGGATTAGGGTCCGCCCTAGTAACCCCGTTTTACCTTAATTACCTCTTTAAAAACCGTGTCTCCAAATACAGTGACATTCTGAGGTGCTGGGGTTAGGATTTCAACATTAGAATTTTGGGGAGATACAACTCAGGCCATGGCAACAATTTAGGCTCAGAAATCATTCTTTTGTCACCTGTCCACACTCAGGGGAATGGGAATTAAGCTCTCTAGCTTGATTGGGGGGGGGGAGAAAGTTCTAGAAAAGCATGTGAAACAGATATTACTACCATGTTTGGAAAATATGATCTGTCACTTGACCCAAATGTGATTCTTGTTCTTTTCATAGTTGAGTTTATCTCACATAACATTTCTTGATACCAGGTATATTTTGGCTTTAATTATGTTTTTTCCCATATTTTGAATATTTTCTTGTCTCTGTTTTGCTATATAGGCTCTTTTTTTGTTTGTGTGTGCACATATATGCTTTCCCTTTTGGGATTTGGGAGGTTTATTGTGTATTTTTAGTTTTTCATATAGGTCTCTCTCTTATAGTTTGTATCACACCCTCTTTCATGGATTGGGAAATGTAGTGAGTATGTCCTGGTTTCCTGCTGTGAAGGATGGCACAGTTAATACCCATGCTTTTTCCCACCTCTCCTCCCTGCTTCTGCCTTTGGGTTTCTGTTGGTTATAGGCTTATTTTAGTTGTTTTAAGTATTGTACTTAAACCTGTTTCTTGATCTCTCGAGTCTGTTAGAAAGGGAACAAGAGAAACACTCTTCTGTCCCTTCTGTTGTTTCTTCCCTTCCTCTTGCCCAAACTCTGTTTGCCTCCAGTATTAGTTTTGTCGTCAAGGTTTAATAATTACCTTTTGAAATGATGTTTCTTACTGGGTGTTCATTCTTTGATCTATTTAAATACACTGATTCAGTTCTATTAACTGCAGCTTTTCCTTTTACCTCCTGGTTGGCTAAATTTCATTGTTGGGTGATTTTTTTTTTTTTTCCAAAAAACTAACAGATGTTATTTTCCTTTGGCTCTGTCATATTTAAGAATATGAGCCTGTTGGGGCGCCTGGGTGGCTCATTTGGTTGAGCATCTGACTCTTGACCTCAGTTCAGGTCTTGATCTCAGGGTTGTGAGTTCAAGCCCTGTGTTGGGCTCCATGTTGGGCTTGAAGCCTACCTAAAAAAAAAAAAAAGAATATGAACCCATTGACTTCATTCATTCTTTTTAAATTTTTAAAATTTTTTATTGTTACTATTTTCATTTTTAAGTAATCTCTACACCCAACAAGGGGGCTCTGACTTAACCTCCCCGAGATCAAGAGTCCCATGTTCTACCAACTGAGCCAGCCAGGCGCCCTCCTGTTGACTTCATTCTTGATCAGTGACGTGGCGGGGTGGGTCACAGGTTCTTTCTTGCAGCTTTAGAAGACATTACATCATTATTGTTTTATATTGAATATTGTAGAGAAATCTGAGGCCGGGTTCACTTAACCTGCATGTAAGTGAGTGCATCATTTCTCTCCCTGAATGAAGAAATTGTATTTTTTTTAATTCTTGAGTTTTAAAAAAATCCAGAGTATCCTTGTGTTTATTTTTCTATATTGATTTTTCAGGAAATTATGTACTCCTTGAATATGTAGATGCAGGTTTTGCTTTGAATCGGGACAGTTGTCTTCTGTCAAGTGTTTACATTCATTTATGTTTTATTTTTGGGCATCTCTGATTCCGAGGGACCAGTTATCTCTCTGTTGGGTCATTTTTTATCTGTTCTCCTCTATCATCTGTCATTTTTTCCTCTGCTTATTCAATCAGGAAGTCTTCTTAGGACTCTTCCAGATGCCAGAGCTGTTCCAGGCCCTGGGGTGTGGTTGGTGACCAGCTAGACAAGGTCACTGCTCTGGTAGAGCCTCTGTGCTGGTGGAGCACGCTGGAAAGGGCAGGGTTGAGAATAGTGGTCACTCCCAGCGGGTGGGCGGCAGCGGCTTCCACGTGCACTTCCTTAGTTCTGCCAGCCCCATTTTCATCTCCGCCTCTTGCCCTGCGTTACCTTCACGCTCCTTTGAATTCTTTAAGTTCTTCCATAGGGTGATGTGTTCCCAGAGATGCTCTTATCTTGGGGGGCTATATTTCTTTCAGAATAGATTCTTCACCTTTTACATACTATATTCCTTTCTTACTATTTTCTCCTCCTCCATCATCATTTTCTTCTTCCTCCTCATCTTCTTCATTTTTTTCTTTTTCATCATCATCATCATCATCATCATCTTCCTCCTCCTTCTCCTCCCCCTGCCCCTCCTCCTCCATAGTTTTGCATGGATGCCTTACCCTCTTTCCCTTTCCAGTTTGCTCATGCTTGCAGTAGCAGCTCTGTCCAGACCTCTCCATGCTGGCTTAGTGCGGGTGAGTTCCCCTTGACTGCCTCTGGGTGGTGTCTGAGACGTCTGGGCTCTGCTTTGAGCTAGAGTGAGAACCCTGGCTTTCGTGTCCTGAGGTGTATGTGTGAGGAGAGGGCCGCGGCCCAGCCTCCGGCTGCCTCACTAGCTTGCTTGGCCTTTGCCTTCTCTTAGATAGTGCAGTTCTTTCTCCTGGGTGGGTGTCTGCTTCATGCTGGTGCCACCTTCCTGCTTTAGATCGTTTGTGAGGCCCCGGAGCCTTAGCATCCATCTGGGGGAGTCAGCCCTGTCCTTCCCTAGCACTGGTTCCCCTTCTCTAAAACAGAGCTGGGAAGGGTTATGTGGAAGGTGGTTTGGGATCCTGTCACTCAGCCTCTCCAGGAACGTCTTCCTACCCCTGTCCCACTGACAACATGGGCTTGATGATTGCTGGTCCTTCTGTGCTTCTCCTTCTTACCAGCGGGGCATCTCATTGCAGGCTGCTGGGATTATTGCCTGTGTTGTGTGGTCGGTGGTTGGGAGTCATGTCTCTTTCTGCCTTTTTTCTCAGGGCTGTCTATATCCTTTGGACTTCATTCTCCAAGGTGTTGGGGGTGGTGATCATCAGTGAAATTTCCGTTAGAGGGTCTTTGGAGAGTTAGGAGTTGCGTAGAGCAAAACCAAGCTGGCTTTTTCTCTGACTGCCAGCAAA